TAAAGAGAGAAGGAGGCTCGAGGGCACTGGTGGGCTCCAGAGGCGAGGTCGTCAAGAGCGAGCGCGGGACGCAAGACATACCCAGGTTCGGGGCTCTTCGGAGAGATAACACCCTTAGTCCTGCCGAGTATGGTTTATGTGTAACAGTACAGAGTTGCTCCTAGAGCTGTATCGAGGAAGAAGGAAGGCAGGCTAAGGCTTAGGCTACTCCTGGTGGGTGGCTAGTTTAGTTGATCTGGTGTTCGCTACGGTTCTCGTCGTGCGTGTGAGTTGCCCGCATGCATGAGGGCTCCTAGGGGGTTTTATAGGCCAACCCCTGGGATACAATGGTAATGTTACAAGGCCGTGGGTCCGGTTTGTCAGTGTCCGGGAAGCCGGTGCTGGGACCCGCCGGGTGTCAGGACTCGCCGGGTTCTCCGGGCACGGGCCCCACATGCCTAGAGGCACTGTTTGTCGTCTTGTCGATCGTTAGGGAGTGGCCGGGTTGAGTCTCTACAGTGGCGCTCCGTTAGGTCGCCGCTTGTTGGCGTCAGCAGTGACGACAGGTGCACTGTTGCCATGCTGGCCCTGGTCAGCGGGTAGGTGGGGCACTGTTGCCACGCCCCGGCTGACCAGAGGCATGGGCGGGTCACTGTGGCCTTGCTCATCCGTGAATGGAGACTCGTCCCATCGTACGGCCGGGATGGGACGAGAGCTGACCCGAGGCCAGGTTGAGGAACACGCAAAGAGGAAGCTGGCTTGTTGGAGAAGTCTTGGTGTGCCGGGTTCGGCCGCCTTGTGCCGGCCGTTGTGGCCGGGTTGAGGAGTCCGGCCGGGTCGAAGAGTTCGGTCGGGTCGAGGGGCTTGGCCGGGTTAAGCAACCCGGCCAAGCGTGAGCCGGATTGAGTAGCGATGCTGGCCCTGTTGTTTTCAAAAAGGTTCCGGGTTCCGTTGGCTGCCTCGGGTTCACCCCCCGACAGTTATCTTATCAAGCTGCACTGCACATGAACGGCAAGCCGTCTAACCTGCACCTAATTAGGCACACTAAAGAATAACTATCAAAACTCTTTTCACTGGTTGGACAGACTCGGACAGACTCACAAGCGCTCAAACAAACAAACCAAAACAAAACAAATCAAGCTAATTAGGCTACCACGCCATACAAAGAGAAACCGATCTGTCCCACCAAACAAAGCCTCAACCTCCCCGTGTCTGGCTCTCAATCTCTCAATCATATCAGTATTAATCTCTTCAATCTCTCAGCACCCAGCACATATTAGACATGTGTCTGCGCAGCCCCAGCATGCGGGTGCGCAGCTGCAACTCCCGCATGACCACCGTGCCGGTCTTCACACCACCGACCCGCCTCTAACCACGCTCCCACTGGCCACCCCGCCGCCGCCCACAATGCATCACCCCCGGTTGTGGCGCCTCCAACGGAGGCCAAGCTTGCCCCTGCCGCCACATCCCCTCGATTTCTTTGCCTTCGGCTCTCTCGCCCGTGTTTCACACGCATACCTCTCTTTCCCCAACTTTTCTTATACAGATATGACTACTTCTCTCTAGACCAGGTATGCACATCACTTGTAATGGGCCATACGTGTTGGTAAGGAAGGTTAACAGTGTGGGCCCCATGTTCTCCAAAGCCCACGACGAACCAGGGAGCTTAGAGTTTGTAGGGATTTAAGAATAATATGTAGTTTTGTTGTCGTTATATTTTGGAAGTTATGGTTTGAACCAAGCACCAAAACAAATGGCAGTGGCCTCAGAATTAATGCAAGATTTCTTTTTCTCTGTGCAGGTCGCTGCCTCTGATGTCCCTCGCTTAACTACATCCTAATAAAGGCCAAAAGAACGATGAACAAGCCTGCGGCTGTTTCCTTGATAATCCTTCTTATCTTGGGCTCCAACTACGTGCAGGATCGTGCCCGGCTTAACGCCCTGATCCAAAATGTAGGTTGGTTTTTCGGTATCACCCTAAAAAGCTGTATTCTATATGGTCTTCAAGAGATTAGGAAATGGATATGCGGAGCGGAGAGCTCTGGATTTGTGGATGGTTTTCCACTGGATATCAACTTAAATGATGAGAACCCAATAATCTTCGAGGGAAGTGGTATTGGCAACTGGATAGCTCATGTGATAATTAGAACGATGAAGGACTACCACAAGTTATGCAAAGAGAATGTACGAGGTGGCTGCTGTTGTGGTCGTAATGGTCGCAATTGTTGTTGTTATTGTTAGATGAGTCCGATTAGATATCCGAGGCAGAAGGAAATATTATGTGTATTAGGTCCGCATGACAAGTATGGACAGTGACCCTCCTTGGTGTTTTCCCATTTTGCAACGCATGGCTGATTAATTTGTTCCTGTGATGTGTAAGTTGTTGCCTTACCTCGTCGTAAGGACTTATAATAGTTAAGGCAAGTTCAATGAATCATAGCTTTGGTTATAATCAGTTGCATGAGAGCTTTCTGGTAATGGCACTCTTTTGTTATTCCATCTAGGAGGAATCCTGCATATTTTCCATTCTGTCAAACATCTCTTGTTGCCCCTTTTTTATATGATATAATATGCACTGAGCAGAATTGTGGCTGGAGGAAATGCTATGCTACCCTTCTTATCTTCTTACATATTAGAAGTGGTATTTCCTTCTTGCATATTCTTTTGCTTCGGGACACATAAATCTTAAAAGAAGTTGTACAAGAATGTAGTATCATAGTTCAGTTTTATGTGTTAACTATTCAGCTTTATAAGCGTTCAACTCTTCTGCAAACTGATGTTCAGTTTTACACTCAATATTGGCCGCTAATCGCCATATGCTTTGGAAATGCCTTTTAAATTATTACATATTTTTCTGTTCCATCATTTTTAGCTTGATGCACAACTGAGAAAACTAAAAAGATATCTGGTGGACAACAAATACATACCATTTCAGTGCTAGGTGTTGTATAACTTTGGCAGATTTTTGCATGTAGATTCCATTGATGCGAATTTGTTTTTTTTGTATTTTTGCATAAAAGGTTATAGTAATTGTCTTTAGCTTATAACAATAATAATGTTTTCTCTCTTATCTTTCTATGTGTTCACCAAGGCTAGAATAGTTTTGTCTGGATTAGTATAGTTTTTTTCTTTCTCTTTTTGGGTTTTTGTCAGCAAGAGCTGGGATGTGTGGTTCTTAGAATAATATCTTTTTCAGGGTTTACAAATGTTAATATATTTTTTTCTAGCTTATAGAGCTGGACTTATGGCGCAATGTCTGAATGATGCCTTAGATGGAACTGAAATGGTTGGTTGTTACTCTTCAAAAGCCTAGCTCAGTTGTTTCATGCTCGGTATTGAAGATGGCAAAGATAAATACCACTCGGAACCTAGGTGTAGATGAATCTGATATGCGAAAAATAATTTAGCAACTCAGGGAAAAGTCAAAAAATTCCGAAAACTGATACGCGAACATTCATAAACAGTGCACCCCTTTTGCTGCTGTAACTCCAAAAAACTGGAGGTGGGACAGTGTTCTATGTCTGCTCGGTATACAATATTTGCTGATGTCTTGATGTCACACCTTCATAATTGGCTTCTGGTAGTTTAAAAAAAAAATGGCGTCTGGTGATTTCCCATTGATAACTCGATCTGTCTTGATAACTCAATAACGAAGCTTCATGTGAGAGTGAATCCACACAACGCATCACAACAGTGATTTAACGGGTACGAGTAAATTGCAAAAAACCATCATAATTGAGGACCCTAATCCAAATAACCACCACCATTCGATTTCTTTTCAAAAAACCGCCAACTTTGTGCTGACAGTTTTCAAAAAACACTGATATGTCAGTAAACGCATGTTGACATCGCTTCTGACATATGGGGCCGCTGCAAGTGCTGATGTGGCAAAATTAACATGACACCGTTGCACCTGCCCGTTACACTAGAAGAAGGGGGCCACTCGTCAGTGTCTCATGCATCTCACGGCATGGACGCTGGTGCCCAACCAGGGAGGCAGGCGAGGTCAACGGCGAGCAGCGCCGCTCCAGCTCCGGCAAGCGCCGTCGCTGGATAAAGCCCGAATCCAAGACGAGGTCAAAATCCCCCAAGCCGTGCGCCGCTCAGGAGCCGCATCAAGCGAACCCGCAGCCGGTGTGTGACACCGCCCCATCTGTGTCAGCCGCCTCCCGCACATGGACTGGCTCCGGTGCCGCGGCCGAGATCCGGCGTCTGCCGTCAGAGCAGCAGCTAGCCAGCTGCGAGGCACCTCCTGCTCGGGGTGGTGGCGCACAATGGAGCAGAAGCCGCTCCCAGGTCGCCAGAGTCGCCCTCGCCCACCTCCTTGATCTGCTCCCAGGTGGTGGCGCCGGAGCCCCTCCCGTCGAGGTCGCCATGCCGGCGGCGCACGTGCCCGGCGAGGCGTGCCCGGAGCCGAGCTGCCGGAGGGATTACCGCCAGCGACGCGCCCAATCTGTGCCCGCCGTCAGGATCCTGCGCACGCACGGTCCAGCTCCGGTGCCCGCAGCCGAGATCCGGTGACAGCGGCCGGGATCCGGCGTCCCGTATCCCCGGCTGCGGCCGGTCCTGCGAGCCCCGGCGACGCCGCGCCGCTATCTGCTTGTCGGGATCCAGCGCACGCACGGGCTGCCACAGCCTGGACGTGCTTTTTTACATTTATATATTTTTTGTTTCAATGACAGTCGGACCCCACTTGTGTAATAAAAGAGTTACTTATTCAGCAACAATTCCATCTCCCATGTCCGTCACCGTCACGCCATGTCATCAGATACAGCGGGCCCTACTTGTCAGATTCAGCGTCAACGCTGTAAGTTATGCTATTAGTGTTTTTTGCAAAATAATTACTGAATACCGGATGTTTTTTGAAAAAAATTCGAATAGTGGTGGTTTTTTGAATTAGGGTCCCCAATTATGATGTTTTTTTACAATTTACTCAACGGGTACAGTTACTAAAAGCTCTAAATCTGCACGCGTTCGCCGAAGCAAACTAACGCAACCATCAACAAGGTGGCTATTCCAGCTCACGAGGTTGAGCCGAGGCTGCCTGCGATGTCGATGACGAAGCGGTAGCGGACGTCGTTCTTCGCGAGCCGCTCGAGCGCCGTGTTGACGTAGTCCATCTTGATCACCTCCACCTCCGCGGTGATGCCGTGCTTTGCCGCGAATTCCAACATGGCCTGGCAGTCCCTCATGCCGCCGACGCAGTTCCCGGCGATGCCCTTCCCTCCCGGCACGATGGCGTACGCCGGCAGCTCCAGCGGCTTGGTCGGCCCGCCCACGAACACCATCTGCCCCATCGGCTTCATCAGCGCGAACAGCGGCGAGATCGGGTGCCACGCCGACACCGTGTCGAGGATGCCGTCCATGGTGCCCACCGCCGCCTGCATCTGCTCGGGGTCCCGGCTCACCAGGAACTCGTCCGCGCCCAGCCGCTCCAGCGCCTCCTCGCGCTTCCCGGGCGAGGTGCTGATGACGGTGACCCGCATCCCGAACGCCTTGCCGAACTTGACGGCGACGTGGCCGAGGCCCCCGAGGCCGACGACGCCCAGGTGCTTCCCCGGCGCGTTCAGGCCGAAGCGCATCATCGGGCTGTACACCGTGACGCCGGCGCAGAGCAGCGGCGCGGCCTTGTCCAGCGGCAGCCCGTCTGGGACGCGGACCACGTAGTCCTCGTTCACGAGCATGACGTCGGAGAAGCCTCCCTGGGTGACCGCGCCGCCGTGCTCGGGGTCGATGCCGTTGGAGGTGAGCACCATGCTGGAGCAATAGTTCTCGTAGCCGTTGCCGCAGCTCTCGCAGGAGCGGCACGACCCGACAAAGTAGCCCACGCCCACCGTGTCGCCGGCCTTGAACTTGCTGACGCCGCTGCCGACGCTGGTCACCACGCCCAGGATCTCGTGCCTGCCCAAGGCCATTATCTCACTCCAGCACCACGTAAAATTTGTTCCATCATGTTGAGGGATTTAATTACCCGGGAACAACGGGGTACATGGCGGTGCCCCACTCGTTCTTGATGGTGTAGAGGTCAGTGTGGCAGATCCCGCAGTAGAGCACCTTGATCGTCACATCATCATCTTTTTGAGCCCTGAAATGTAATTAACTGTCAGTGACCCCACCAGCTGACTGACCTCCCAGCTGAACATAGCAATCCAGCAAAGGACCACAACCGCAAGACGACTATCTCATTCTGTAAGTGCAACCAACTTAAGATGTCTGAAGTCTCTGAACTTAGCAACCAAAATCGTAGAAAACGCCTGATTTAACATTTTGTCAATGTGTTTCTAAAAAAAGAAACGTTTTGTCCATGTGTGTTGATAACTTTTGGGTTTTTTGCCTTCTTTATTTTTGTACAAGACTCAAGCTGTAACATTCACGAAATCCTCTGATTCTATTATACTCCTACCTTTGTCTCAAAAAAAAATTATACTCCTACCTTTCAATCCTAAGAGCATGGTTAATAATATAGCCAGCTGCTGGCTATATGATGTTGCCATGTCACATATAGTCAAGCTTATAGCCAACAAGTACAAATAACTAGATATAAATATGTACTACTTTGTTGATACATGGCCCACCCCAGTCTTTCACAAAGTACCTAGGAGCACGTGCTGCAGCTGGCTGTTAACTAGTAGCCCGCTTCTCTTCTCTCTCCTCTTCTCTCTCTTCCAAGTAAGCAAGAATATAATATTTAATGTCTTACAGCCTGCCTACATCACCTTATTATACTTGCTCTAACAGAACATGCTATATCTCGAGAGCCTAGACTGAACTCATTAACTAGCAACTGTATATCTCTAGGACACATACTCCCTCCGTCCACGAATAAGTGTACATCTAGCTTTTGTCTTAAGTCAAAGTTTTAATACTTTGACCAAATTTTTAGAAAAGAGTAAAAGCATTTATGGCACCAAATTAGTATCACTAGATTCGTTTTGAAATATAATTTCATAATATATCAATTTGATGTCATATATGTTACTAGTATTTTTTATAAAGTTGGTTAAAATTTTAAAACTTTGACTTAGAACAAAACCTAGATGTACACTTACTCACGGACGGATGGAGTATGCACACTCTGACACGCACCTTCTTGAGAAGTCGAACGGGGAGAGGACACCGGAGGCGTCCCTGGCCGCCCAGCCGAGCGCCGCGCTGCCTTGCGCCGCCTCCTGCGCCCCCACCTCCTTGGCCACCGCCTTCGCCATGTGCGGCCGCAGGGCTCTTGACGGCGACGCAGCAGCGACGCCGACGCTGCTCGCCAGATGCCTGGGCTCAGCGGGCGAGAACCGGGCGCCGAGCTCGCCGGGGAAGAAGGACAGGGGAAGAACCGAGCTGCTCAGGTGAAAATGATGCGACATGACGGCACAGCCCCGCTGTACGGTGACGAGATGTTTGATGACGCCCTGCGATTTTTTGGTGCGCACTGGATACTTTGGGTGGTGAGCAGGAATTTGAGTGAGGCTGAGAGTGACCGTGCTGCTGTGGAGCTAGCTGCGCATGTGCTGAGTAGTGCATCGCGTGTAGTACTACTCGCGAGCTTATTGGTCACGTAGGATAAGAGGAATCCGTGGCCGAGGGAGCAGAGCAGGGCGGGTACTTTCTCAGTTTAGGGACCGGGAGTAACCAGAAACAAGAGTATCGTATGTGAAGACAGGAAAGGAAAAGCGACGTAAACGAGATCACGTTTCTTCCGTGTCGGCCGTGGCTACACCTACACTGTTACCGGTTTTACTCCTGCGCGACCGACCGCTACAGCGCTCAATCCTAATCTTTTCTCCCCCCTGATTCCAACGGTGGGGGCCCGGGCGCGTGGCACTTTCCCCCCTCAATTAACCAAAACAGGAAAGATTTGCGCCTGTCGGAAACCGATCGTTCCAGCGCGCGCGCGGAATAGCATCGCCCCACTGTTACCATAATCTCTACTTCTAATGGAGCAGTTGCTGAATAGTCCGCGTGATTTATTTTCGCTGGTTTATTTTTGTCATCCCATCATCGTTTTTTTTCCGTCACCATCCCATCTTGGCCAAAAAACCTTCGCGAAAAAAACCCCACCCCGCACGAAACGAAGAAAACCCCGATCAACTCCGCTCCTCTCGATCTCCCACAGGAGACGACGCCGCCGCTGCCACCCCAGAGAAGATGTTGTCGCGGATGTCCGGGATTGACGTCTCTCGCTCTCGCGATCTCGCTGCAGCCGACGAACGGGATCGCAACCGCCGCCATCGCGGATCCCTTCGGACGGAGTGAGTCCCCTGATCATTTGCTACCTCGATGGAAACCACGCCCTAGCCGCCATCACGGATCCCTTTGCCGGTGACGAGGTGCTAGAGGAGTCGCCGCCGCCTTCATTGTGGACCACCGGGTCGCCTTCAGGACACCGCTGCCGAGGTCCACCATCGCCGCCGTCGAGGTCCGAGAGGGGCATGACCCTAGGGAGATCTTCGCCGGGGTTGCCGCCACCGCCGCCGACGTCGCCTGCCCAAGGTGAGATCCCAGCGCCTGTCTCCTCCTCTCCTTGCAGCGTTATGCTCTGTCACGAGGCTGACGGGTGCGTCGATGGATGGAGAGGAAAGGTACGGTGCCGTTGATCCGTCCTGCCTGCGGATTCATTGGACATGTCTTGGTGGTGTGAGCACTCATCTGGTTGCTCTGTCCTTCAAGTTTCAAGGCGGATTCAGGGTCAGTGGGTTGGGACGAATCGACCGCTGTTGTCATGTGAGATCATGGTAATGTAGAAAAGCAAGGTAAATGTAATTGTTGTATAATAACGCCCTTGTGTTCTTATGGATCACCTTAGGCAGAGTCTCCATGTAAGCTTCTGGAACATCCATCTCCATGAGAACATCAGCATTGATGGCATTGTTGCCTTCAGGACTTGGTTGCCAAGCTCCTTCTGGTGTAGAAGCCATCTCCTCGTCGAGTCTGACAGACCCTCGGGAGGGACCTTCACTGTATCTACTAATGCCTATCTGTATTTATTTATCTACAAATGCGTTGTACTGTTGTGCTTTTGTTAAGAAGATACATGCATGGCAGGGGGAAGTTGAGCGAGCACGGCAAAGCCAAAGAGAGGCAGAAAGCAAGATATCTTCCTTGGAGGTACCATTTAATTCATAAGATATCAAAGAATCAGTTGTCAAGTAATAGCTCAAAGTTTAGGTGATAAAAATGCTAATATGATGATCAGGTCAGGTATAATATCACAGAAAATGTAAAAAGTATGATTGGAGTTGTTTTCATTGTAGTAATAGAATGCTTTATCTTGCACCATTATTTATTGAACATCTTTATTTGTAGGATGTAGGCTGAGTTTCAGAAGATGAGAGTTGAAATGACTGGAATGAGAACAAAAAAAAAATGGTAGCTTGGTCTTGACGACTATAGTTTCAATTCCTTATTTGAGTCTAGCTCAGGTGTTTCATAGACTTTTAAAAATATCTATTCTTGAACCTTACTGAAGTGGGCCTCCTTCTGAGGAAAAAAAGTCTATGAATGGATCATTTGAAAAACAAGATGCTACAGTTCCTTAAAAGTGAAATTGCTTGCCAAATATAGTAACAGGTAACTCCAATATTTGTTGGAATGAGATAGCGTATGCCAGGTGAATATTTCTAGATTTACCTGTTAGGATTAGTCTGTTATGTTTCCCTCTAATTTTTTATTGCTTAGCTAGGGTAGATATTTTTAGTCTGTCATATTTCCCTTGATTTTTTTATTGCTTAGCTAGGGTAGATATTTGTTTCCAGGTGTTACAACATGGCTTAGCACCAACTACATCAACGTTGCTCTGCTCCAATTCTTACCGTCCCACATCTCAAAGAATTTGCCTGGTAGTCCCTATCATGAAAAAAAGTAGAACAATTTCTAGCTTTCATATGTATTTGTTTTTGCCGTAATGTTTAAGAACGAAGCATTGATCAAGGTCCCACAAAGGTTATGTAGTGATATTCATGATGTTCTATACGCTAATTGGATGCAGGTGACATGTGTTCTTCTCCTTTTCAATTTCTCTTATCTTGATCTTCTTCTAATTGAAAGGATGGAATTCACGCACTTTGATGGAACGATTTGTGATGTGTGTATATTTGTTCAGAAATACACATTTAAATTTGGTTAGTTTCTTCACAAACACACACCCACATGCATAGAACTTAAGCATGTTCTTTTCTTCACGTAATTGTGTTAATAACGGTAAATCATAACTTTGTGCACTGATGGATGCATAATTAACATAATACGAGTACTTGTTACTTGAATATTGTTGTCATTCCTTCTCTCTGATGGTGTCCTGTCTTAAGTTGAGTTAGGTCAGTGGGTTAGAATATTATTTGCATACCAGCAAATATAAAAATCTTATTTGTGCATCCACTATAACAGAACATGCCAATATGCCAATATGTATAAAAGAAAACTTTTGGTCTGGTGGTACGGTATTTATGTTGCTCCATGTGTTCTAGTTAATTCTGTTTGAAGAAAAGCATATGCTAATTTCAAGTTTTGAACTAAGCGTTATAGATATAATAATGGGCATGGACAAACTTAAATGTCAAGAATTTGTTTTTTAAAGATGTCAAGAATTAAATATATTATATTTCGGATTGATAAAATTATTTGTTTTGAGCATGCATGCAATTCTAATATCCATATGATGAAATTTTATACTCGCTAAAAAATTTAAACCTTCAATATTCTTCTGCATGTTTGCTTGGAATTAGACTGGTCCATTATAGCATCTTAATTCTCATAAAATACAATATTTATTTTCCAGATATCTATTGATGGTATTCCTATATGTATGCAGATCATTAGTTGTCACTTGGGATGGGTGTGATCTACAAATTTGACCTGGGAATGAATGGCTATGTATTGGTTATGCCGATAGGATGATAAAGGTTCGGTGTATAGCCTGCATTCCTGTCTTGCAAGTTTAAGTTGAATTCATGTAGTAGTTATCACAACCTGTATTGGCACTGTTAATTTCTTAGAGTCTTATTTTTACAGGTGCCTGCAATTTGTATTGTTTTATGCATCTATTTGTATGATGCAATATGTTCCAGTTTTGGGAATCTTGTTGGACTTAGCTGGACAGCTATTGTGATGTTGATGCACAATTACCATAATCTACTATTATCCGAATTGCTTTAGGCAAGGAAGAAGGTGGATGGGGCGCCGAGGAACATGATAAGGAAGAGGTTGGATGAGAGAGGAGGAGAAGAGTGGGGTGAAGGAGGAGATGGAGGGAAAGAGGGACAAGGACACGGTGACGGAGTTTCTTGAGGCGGAGGGTGGGAGCTTCTTGGAGATGTTGGACTTCTGCCTGTCCTAGCTTGTTGCTGCCTTGCTGGGTAGGGGCCAATCTGTCCTCATGAGGTCGTTGTCAAATTCCTCACCGAGACTTCGATGATGCTGGGACAACTCAAGTATGAAATGTTATGGTAGTTTGTTTGGGAAATTGTAAATTCTTGTGCATGTGGGGTAGAGTAAATTGGCAAATAAGGTGGGGCAGTGGGAGGATTTGTCAACCAATTTCATAGTCTTATTATAATTGGGGGTTAGGTTAGCATATTGTACAACAACTCACGTCTAAAAGAAAATTTTAAGGTGCTGGCTTGTTATCCCATTTTTCATTAGCACATTTAACCAATTGCTAGCGCAAGTTTATTTTCATCTATATAAGTTTGCTCTTTCATTGTTCCCGGTTCTCCTTTTGCTAGGACGACAATTTATGGAATATTTACTAGCTATATTATGAATGGGAGTTGGTGGACAGCAGTGGCGGTGGTGTCACATGTCCTCATCTGAAAAATGGATCACAGTAATCATATAGAACTGGAAGCATACCAAGGTAATTTGTATTTTACTTTGTTCCTATATCCAGAACTGTCTTTGTAGGAAAATATTACTGACCAGGATTAAAATCCACTACAAAAATCATCTGATAAATATTTTATAATTTTAATATACGAGGTTGATTAGAGAGACAAGAGGTTAGATCAATATCACGCCCACAACATGGCCAAGGGACGGGGCGGGTGTATATGATGCCTTGATCTCTTATGGCGTAGGGCGGCTGAGATACAATGAAGGCGGTGTAATATGCACGAGCGGCATGAGGAATCTCAAGGTACATGTCTAACATGATCAGTGTTGGACCACTTGAATATTTATGCGTTGCAACACACGGGCAATGACTCAGGAGACATCAGATTCGCCTTCTTAGCTCCGGAGGTGTCACGGGCGGTGCACGCCTCATCCCCATTTGTTGGCGGTGGTGGATCGACACAAAATGGGGGGGAGGGTCAGAGTGGGGTGGTTGGCAGGGACTCCTCCTTGGCGATCCATGGGGAAGTACGGTGTG